CTTTTCCAGCCCAGCACCGGGAGCTGCCTTTCAATCCAAAGGGCTTCTCTGCAGATCCTCTGGAGTAGAGCCGAGGTGGAAGTGAAACCGCGGAGGTGCTGGAATGCGTAGATTGCAAAGGAAGGAGGAGGAGGAAGTGTAGGGAGAGGGAGGATGCGTCGTCAGGGCAACCGCCGGCCGCGGGATGGGAGCGGGGTGAGGGGAGCAGGGACACCCGCGGGGGCTCGGTGCTGCACCCCCAGCACAGGCTCACTGGAGGGAACGCAGCTCCCTGGCACAGCTCCGTCCGGATGGGAGCAGGTTCACACAGTGATTTTACAGCCACTTTCAAAACACATTCCCACCCCCATGAGGGAGGAGAAGAGGGAACAGGAAGGGGTTTGGGAAGCGGACCTTCACCTCCAGAGCTCCGGTGATGGAGACAGCGGGGCTGGAGATCCCAGTGCCCGGGGCTGCCCCTCTGCCCGCTCCGTGCCAAGGTGGGCAAGTCCCAGCACAGAAGCGTTCCCTGAGCCCAAGAGCCTGCATCTCACCTGGTCTCACAGCCAGGAGCTCCCCTCCCTGGAGGCGAGGGGTCAGGATCCAAGCAATTGCAGCCACCCAGGGCCCAGCACTCTGAGTTAACTGTGCAAAACGCCAACCGGTCCTCAGTAAGGGAGGGCACTCTCTGTGCAGTGACACATGGCAGCAGCGCCTCTATTGCCAGGCCTTAACACAGCTTATTAGAGTCAGAGTCCAATTAATGCAGGCACTGCTGAGCAGAGGATGGAAAACGGTCCAGATCCCAGCACTCCTCCTTACAGAGGGGTTTAAACTTTGTTCATGCTGCAGACACGGATCAGGAGATGGGCACTGAAATCTCAGGGGGGGCATGGGTTGTGCTGCTTTGCAAGTGAAAGGTGAAGCAAAGCCAGACTCATCCTGCGAGCGATGTGCTGGCAAAAGGGATTGAGTGGATTTCCATGGGGTCACCATCTCTGCAGCAGGGATGGAGCTGCTGATCCCCACCGGCTGTCCTCGCTGCACGTGGAGAAGGCCAGCAGAGGCCATGGCTCTGCACTGCCATGCCCATGTCCTGAGCCCCACACCCTGTGCTCTCTCCCTAGAGCAGCCCTGGCACAGGCAGCAGCCCCCAGCAGTGTGGGGAGCCCCGCTCCCCAAGCACCACATCCCCGCATTTCTCCCGCCGGGCCCTGACAGCTCCTAAAAGCTGCTGCACTATTTTTACCGCGGTTGCCATAGAGACCTGGGCCCCGCGCGCAGTGATGCTGCTCTTTGGGAAGCGCTGCATCACCGGTGGCTCCTGCCTCCACACGCACCGGCAGGAGGCGGCTATTTTGGGCAGAGCCCCACCGGGGCTGGAGATAACCCGGCCCTGCCCGGGAGGAGCGATGGGCAAAGGAAAGCAGCATCTCCGGGCCCCAGCACCCTGCCTGCTCCAACCAGCCCCACTGCTGCGGGGGCCAGAGGAACCCCCGAGGACCCCCCGAGACTCGGACCTGCTTTTAGAAGCAAGAAGGGAAGCGCTGCGTTTGTCCAGCCTGGGAGATCAGAGTGAACACTAAAGCAGATGCAAACCTGCCCCAAGCTGTGGTCCTGCAAGGAAAATATCTGGATGTAGTAGGAAGGGGTCTCTTCCCCCATGAGACCCTTGTGAAGAGCATGGGCAAGGCTGAGGAACCCACACTGGACTTCATAAACCTGCCATCAGCCCTAATCAGTAACACACCTGCAGCATCCTCCTGGAGCAGCCAGGCATTGGGCAAGCAGAGACTGGGACCCCCAGCTGCCCCATAGCAGGGATACAGATCCTCCCCATGCCCCAGGAGGGCAACAGAGTTGGTTGGTCCCCTCCGAAATGCCAGAGCCTAAAGCTTCCCCGTCACCTGTACTCATCCCCCCGGGAAACATGGCTATAAAAAGAGGCTGTGCAGGGATGAGCTGGCAGGAATAGCTGCGCACAGCCCTCGCCACTGCTCTGCAAAGCACCCAAAATAGAGAGCCAGCCCAACAGCCCCTGACAGGGGAGATGGTCCTGCCCATGGGCTGTCTGTGCTGCAGCTTGTCCGGGGCTTTGGAAGCACAAGGAGCCAGGATTGCCACTTGCCTCCCTGCCCCTGAGCCTGCCCCCTCAGCCTCTCCAAGCACCATCAGAGCCCCTGGGGATCACACAAACCAGACGGGCTGCTACAGTCCCAACAAGCAGCCATAGCAGCTCCCTCCTCTCCTGGGCTGGGCCACACTAATTATAACTCTAGAAACTGGAATAGACGCACGAGAGCTGCCCGACAGCTTGTCTGCGGTGAGATACTGCTGGAGTGGCCCGGCAAAGCACTCGGCATCGCTGCTATTCTCTTTGGTGTCACCTCTGCTGCTCCCCACCCTGTCCAGGGGGAAGGCACCATGGGGAGAAGAGCCCTGGGCAGGGAGCAGGAACTTTCCCCACATCCCACAGTGAATCATCCGGGAGCAAATCACAGCCTGAGGAGCAGCAGAGCCTGACTCAGCAGATCATTATGAACAACTAAGAGCAATCACAACCTGTGATCATGTGTGAGGGGAAGGGAAGGGAAGGGGGGCATCTCCAGTAATCACTCACTGTGAATTATTCAGCACAAGGCAAACACAGACACCATTCGTATGGAGAGGATGGGTTACCATCAGCATCCAGCCGTGGGCAGGGGTCCCAGCTCTGCAGCCGGGAGCCAGCCTGGGCTCCAGCACAGGGATGAGCACTAGTGAGAATGGCAAGGTCAGCAGAAGAGGAAGGTCCCTTGGGGTGGGATATGTCAGATCCCATCACTTGTTGCCAACACTTTCCTAATTAAGAGGAGAGCACTCAGGAATCTGAACTGTCAATCGTTTATGTAAGCCCAGGTTACAAAGATGTTTGCTGAGAGGCCTCTGAAACAAATGGACACGCACCTTGAGGGCTTATTGGGCCAACTCAGGAAAGTGTTCCTGGAGATGGCAGGGAAGCTGCCATGCGGTTTTCCTAAATGCTTGCTAATGTGGCAATTTCCCTGCTAGCTCTAGTTACTGTTGTCAACTCCTACCAAAGAAGGTTGTGATTTTAGGTTATATTTTAACAATCACAAGAGAGATTCCCCCTCCTGCCAACCTCATCTGAGAGCACCATGGCAAACACCCTTACAGGCAGCAGCAGTTTGATAAACCCAAGCCACGTGTACACGGGTGTTGTACCGGCAGCACACATGTACCAGTGCACGCCATTCTCTGGTGCCTGGGCACATGCTGGCACCAGAGAACACATGTGGCACAGCTCCCCACGCACACGGGCACGCAGACACACAGGGACATGGGCGCCTGCGTGCAGGCACCCCAACACACCTTGTACATGGGCACACATGAAAATACATGTGTGCAGGGACATGTAGACATGGGCGCACACACACACAAAGTGCCCACATGTGGGCATACCTTGTACACGGACACAAACAGGCATGTGCAGGGACATAGACATTCCTGTGCAGATACCTCCTGCACATGCAGATACTCATCCTGCAGGGCACACAGGACACAGGCACACACAGGGACATGCATACCCCTGCACAGACACCTCCTGCACATGGGCACACGTGTGCAGGGACATACGGACGCACCCGCAGGGACATGGGCACCCTGCGCAGCCCCCCCCGTACATGGGCACACACACATGCACTCGTGTGCGGGGACACACGGACACCCCCGACGTGTGCACACACCCCTCGAACACGGGCACCTGCGCACGGGTAGGCGCGGACACGTGCGCACACGGACACCCCCCCGCCTCTCCCCGCACCCACCGGGGGCGGATGCGCCGCCCCCCCATCCCCGCGGGCAGGAGCGGCGGGTGACGCAGCACCCGGAGCGTACGGGGGGGGCGATGCGGGCGGGGGCACCGGGGAGACCGGCCGGGTAACCCCGCACCGGCACCGGGCAGCAGGTAACGGGCAGGGCGCGGCGGGCAGCACCGCTCCATCCTCTCCACGATCGGCACCGAGGCTGCGGGACCCGGGACGGCCCCTGCGGGGCGGGGGGCGCCCGCCGGTATCGCTGCTTTCTTCCCGGTCCGCGGCCCCTGCAACACCCCGGGAAGGGCCGAGACTGCCTCGGGACTGGGCCCCTCCGGCGGCACCGGGGTGCGGCGAGGAGCCGGAGGTAAGAGCGCAGGGGAGCAACCGCGGCCCCTCCCCGAGGGAAGTCCCGGTGCGAGCGCTCACAGCCGGTCCCAGCGCTGCGGGAGCCGCGGTTCTCCGGGAACGGGAGGGGGGGAGCGCAGAGCAGCGCGTGCCCCACAGCTGGGGTCCGGGGGATGCTCCAGGGTAGCGCTGGGCAAGACCCGAGGGGTGGAACTGGGGCAGGCGACGGGGCCGTGGCTGCCTCCGGGATGTCTGGAGCTGGGCTCTGCTCGTCCCTCCAGCACCACCCCGAGCCGCTGCCTCTGCCTGGAGCCCCCAGGTCTCGCATCTGCCAGGGATAGGTTTGCTCCTGAGGATACAGGCAGCAGGGCCATGGGGTGCTCGGGTCGTGCGCCATGGCTGGGTCCTTACCTGCCCGAATTCCCCACAGCCAGCGCCAGGGAAGCGCCTGTTGATGCTCCAGAGCCAGGCTGCTGCGGAGCTGCCGCGAGTGGAAGCTGCTCCTCCGGCAGCAGCTCACACCAGCGTCGAGCAGCAACGGGTTATAGACAGTGTGACCACAGCTTCAGCAGCGAGGAAGCAGAGATGGTGGCTTCAGCACAAGCCATAGGAGATGCTCACGCTGTCTCCAGTGGGCTCTGCATTACCTGCCGAAGGACATAGAGGACCTAGTGGAAACCACCTTGAGGTCAGGACTGCACGGATTGCTCTGGCACTTGGGGAATTCGGGTGCATCCAGGCAGATGCCAGCACGGCCACTGGGGCAGCATAGCTGGAGAAGAGCAGGGTGAGATGAACCAGGGTGTCCTGGTAGGAAGCTGCCAGAGCAGAGCTGCTCTGTGAGGAGACACCGAGGACCACCACAGCACAGGTTGGGATGAGGCACAGATGAGTCCATGTCCGGTCCCATCAACAGCAACCATCAGGGTAAAGGGTGGTGAGTCAGGTCCTGGGTAATCGAAGGAAATCCAGTGAAGGAACTGGTGTAAGAGTGGATGGAGGCTCCAGCACCTTCATAGGTCACACCAGGACTGGTATGGACTAGCCCTGCGTTTAAATAGAGCCCCAGCCCAGGAGTGGTGGGAGGGGGGCAGGAAGGTGGGTGGGGATCTCAGCTGAGCTCCTCAGAGCAATTAACGGCAATTAAGGGCAATTAAGGTCAACCGGGACCCTGGCAGCCAAGTAATAGAATCACACAATGGTTTGTATTGGAAGGACCTTAAACCTCCTCCAGTTCCAACGCCCTGCCTCTGGCAGGGACACCTTCCACTCGACCCACTGTGCGGGGTGGGGGGCTTTGGGGTTCCACAGTGTGGGCCGGACATGGTCGGCAGGGCAGGGCAGGGGGGGAGCTGAGCACCAAACCTCACCTCTCCTTATGGTCCCTCCGCAGTTACCGGCTGACGCTCCCATTGCCCACCAGTATAAAACAGCCGGTGCCATGGATGAGGTGACAGAACTGGAGACGGGGGGGAACCCCCTCCTGAAGGCAGTGTGGCTCGGGCGGCTCCGCCTCACCCGGCTGCTGCTGGAAGGGGGAGCTTACATCAATGAGAGCAATGAGAGAGGAGAGACGGCCCTGATGGTGGCCTGCATCACCAGGCACGTTGACCAGCAGAGCATTAGCAAGCCCAAGATGGTGAAGTACCTGCTGGACAACAGAGCTGACCCCAACATCCAGGACAAGTCCGGGAAAACGGCCCTGATCCACGCCTGCATCCGCGGTGCCGGTGGGGACGTGGTGTCCCTGCTGCTGGAGAACGGCGCAGACCCCAGCCTGGAGGACCACTCAGGAGCATCAGCACTGGTCCACGCCATCAACGCCAACGACAAGGATGTGCTGCAGCACCTTCTGAATGCCTGCAAAGCCAAAGGGAAGGAGGTGATCATCATCACCATGGACAAATCTGCCTCTGGCACCAAGACAGCCAAGCAATACCTGAACATGCCACCCTTGCTGGACTTCAAGGAGAGGAGCCCCCCTGAGGCACACACAGCACCCTCCAGCACCCACCCGAAAGCTCCCATCTCAGCACCTTCCCCTGCTGAGGAGGAGAGCAGCATCTTCCCATCGCACCCTGGGGACAGCCCCTGTGCCAACGAGCCGCCCTCCCCAGGGCAGCACACTGGGGCAGCCCACAGAGCCCGGCTGCCCCGGCTCAAGCGGCTGCGCTCGGAGCCGTGGGGTCTGGTGGCACCCTCGGTGCTGGCAGCCTCCACACACCACGATGACTCGCGGCTGGGTGCGGATGAGGAGGTGATCACGGGCATCACCGACCTCTCGCTCTCCAAAAAGGCTCCCGTCGCCCGCGGCGGCAGCAGGAGCAAGGACCCGTCTCTCCTGCCGCCGGTGGATGACCCGGCTCCGAGGGTGCCGCTGAGGAAGGCAGCATTCGAGAAGAGCCCGGCCGCGGTGCAGCGCCCGCCCCGCAGGAGCACGGTGCCCGAGGAGCCGGAGGGCCCGGCCGCGGCACTGCACTGGCGGCGGCTCAGCGCCGAGCACCACGATGACGAGCCCCAGCTCTGCGGCATCCCCGGCCCGGCCGAGGGGAAGGGGCCATTGGAGCGCAGGAGGCTCAGTGGGCCCCATGTGGCCTCGCTGGACGGCTCCCGGGATGCCCTGGACAGCAGCACCGGCGCCTCACCCAGGCCCATGCGGCGCCGGCCGCCCGGCTTGCTGGAGAGGAGAGGCTCCGGCACCCTGCTGCTGGACCACATCGCACACAGCAGGCCCGGATACCTGCCCCCCCTGAACGTGAACCCCAACCCCCCCATCCCCGACATCGGCTCCAGCAGCAAAGCCCCCTCCCCGCTGGCTGCTGGCCTGAAGGCTCTGGTGTCCTTCACTCCCAGCTCACCCAGGTGGGGAGACTTGCGAGCCAAACGGAAGCTGCTCCGGAGACATTCCATGCAGGCGGAGCAGATGCGGCAGCTCTCCGATTTCGAGGAGATCGTGGCCCAGTAGCCACATCACCATTTGCTTCCCAAACCAGTGCTGTCTCTGCAGAAACGTGATGGTTCCCACGTCACCCAGCTCCAGGGAAGTGCTGGTGACCACAGGGACCAGACCTGTGCCCAGGGGCTCAACTGGGAGGCTCCTGCTCCCACTTGCCGGAGCCGTGCAGGGAGCCTGGGTATCCGGCCCAGGCAGCTGGAGCTTCTTGTATTCCAGTCTCTTCTGGACCTTTCCCCAGGAGTGATGACCTGAGAGATCAGTCCCAGACCATCTGAGATCGTTCGGCTTCACACACTGGCTCCTGCCTGCAGGTCGCTTATTCCTCATTATTTATAACCTACTTTTCTTCCACCCAGCTCGGTCAGACCTGGAAACCTGCGTGGAGCCACACACGAGCGAGCCGTGGGGTGATGTGTGTGTGAAGTGCCTGCCAGGGGGAAGAGGTTAATGCTGGCTGTGCTTGGAAGAGCACCCATTCCTAGCAATTGAATGTATGGATACCCTAGCCGTGCTGGAGAGGGAGAGAGCTCTCCACCTCAGACACTTCCAAGCACTGGAACTCCAGCGGCTGAGCTCACCCATCATTGCTGCAGGCTGGTGCCTGGCTTCGAGCGGGTTTATCTCCATTTCTGGAGTGACCAAGGCTCAGGGGCATTTCCCACTGCACTGAATTCCGGGACTGGGAATGCTCCTGGTTGCGTGGGGAGCTTCTGCCCAACGCTGGGATCTGCAGCAGCTCAGCACAGGCCCATCCGCAGGCAGCAGGAGCCCAAGCCAGCAAACACACCCATGTAGCTGGAGATGGGGGAACGAGTGTGGCTCCCCCCCAGGGCTGGGGACCCCGTGGGCCTGCCCTGCAGACAGGACATGTGGCATCCTGCTGTGGGACTGGGGCTGCACCGGCAGCACAGGCAGCTCTGCAGCATCAGGGCAGCGGGACCAGGCACGGCAGGGCCCCCATCCTCACCCGGGCTCTGCGGGGAGCTCTGCTTGTCCCCCACGCTGATGTGTCCTGACACCACTGCATGGGCAGCGGGGCTTTGACACCGGCTGCTGCAGGTTCGGCCCTTGCCTCACCCACACGTGCTCCAGCTGTCCCTCCATCCGTCCCTCCATCCATCCATCCATCCATCCCTCCATCCATCCATCCCTCCATCCCTCCATCCATCCCTCCATCCATCCCTCCATCCCTCCATCCATCCCTCCATCCATCCCTCCATCCATCCCTCCATCCCTCCATCCATCCCTCCATCCATCCATCCATCCATCCACCCACCCATCCATCCATCCATCCATCCATCCCTCCATCCATCCATCCATCCATCCATCCATCCATCCGTCCGTCCGTCCGTCCGTCCATCCATCCATCCATCCATCCACCCACCCACCCACACGGCTGGCGAGGACCCAGTGCCCTGTCCAGTGCACGAGCCAATGCTCAACAGGCTGCTGCAGAGCCTTGCACAAGGCAGAGTGGGGCTTTGGCTGTAACAGGCCAGGAGTGTTCTCTAGGACTGTTTGAGGTTTAAGTGCGTGGCTTAGAGCAAAGGGGTGGGGTGGGGGTGTTATATTTTTACAGCCTTAAAGTTTCTACTTAGGTCAAATGTCTCAGACTGAATTTCAGGCATGTTTGCGCTGTAAGTGATGTTTGTCTTCTATTTTAGAGTGTGGAATTTGAAATCCTGTTGTTCATCCCTTTAATTCGTTACTGAATACCCTGGTATTTTGTGTTTGTCTTCTTTCTTAAAAAAAAACCCAACAAACAGTTTGATGCCTTTGGGCAGCAGTTGGAGATGGGGTGTCTGCAGAAATTGGATCATAGAACCATAGATTGGTTTGGGTTGAAGGGACCTTAAAGTTCAACCAGCCCTACCCCTGCTTGCTCCAAGCCCCTGTGTCCAACCTGGCCTTGAGCACTGCCAGGGATGGGGCAGCCACAGCTTCTCTGGGCACCCTGTGCCAGCGCCTCAGCACCCTCACAGGGAAGAGCTTCTGCCTAAGAGCTCAGCTCAGTCTCCCCTCGGGCAGGTTCAAGCCATTCCCCTTGGCCTGTCCCTACAGGCCCTTGTCCCAAGCCCCTCTCCAGGTTCCCTGCAGCCCCTTTAGGCACTGGAGCTGCTCTAAGCTCTCCCCTTCAGGAGCCCTCCCTCCTCCCGCTGAACACCCCCGGCTCTCTCAGCCTGACGCGGGTCCCCCGCGGGGTCTCCCCGTGCTCTCCCATGGGAACAGACGCGGGCACCGTTCCCACCCGCTCGCTCCGTGGCGCTCAGGGCGGGCCCCGTTCCCGGTGATGCTGGCGCGGGGCGGCTCTGGCTCCCGCGGTACCGGCCCCTCCGCTGCGCCTGCCCGGCCCCGGGGGCGGGGAGGCAGCGCTGGAGCCGCCCCCAGCGGAAGCGCCGCCGGTGGCCGTGCCGGGTGCGCGCCACGTCAGGCGGGGCGGGAGCGGCGGGATGCGGGCCGGGATGCGGGCGCTGCCGCTGCTGATGCTGGGGTCGGTGCTGGGCGCGCTGCGGGCCGGCGGCACCGAGCTGACGTTCGAGCTGCCCGACAGCGACCGGCAGTGCTTCCACCAGGAGCTGGAGCGCGGCCTCAAGTTCACGCTGGACTACCAGGTACTGCCCTGCCTGTGCCCCTGCCTGCGCCCCTGCCTGCACTCCTGCCCCTTCTTGTGCCCATTGCCCTCTGTCCATCCCCCAAGCCCCATGGCCCTGCCTTGCCCACACCATCGCCCCCTGCTTGTGCCCATCACCCTCTCCACATACCCGCAGCTCTGTGCTCCTGCCCATGTCCCACCGAGCTCCTGGCAGGGCTGCACCTGCACCTTTCCCATGCAGTTCCCATCTCCCCCTGCACCGCACCAGGACCAATTCCCAGCCCCGTTCTCATGCCCTGTGGTGCCTGTTTTGGAGCAAGCACTGGGATGTGACCACAGGAGCCCCTGACCCAGGGCTGGACCCAAGCATCCCACCCTGAGCTGTGACACCCCACTTGAGCTGTGTGCCCTGCGGGGTGCGACTTCCCCACTGATCCCCCAGTCTAGGCTGGCCATGTGAGGCATGGGCAAACCCACGCGCTCTCACCTCAGATTTTGGCATGTGCTGCTGCATCCCCTTGCACAGGTGATCACTGGCGGACACTACGATGTGGACTGCTACGTGGAGGACCCCAACGGCAGGACAATCTACAAGGAGACCAAGAAGCAGTACGACAGCTTCCCGCACCGTACTGAAGTCCAGGGCGTCTACACCTTCTGCTTCAGCAACGAGTTCTCCACCTTCTCCCACAAAACCGTCTACTTCGACTTCCAGGTGGGCGACGAGCCCCCGATCCTGCCCGACATGAGCAACCGCGTCACCGCGCTGACACAGGTGGGTCCCTGCACAGTGACATGGGGCTGCCATGGGGGGAAGGTCCTACCTGCAGCTCCCGCTTGTGGCCAAACGGCCCAAGGGGGGAGTGCCTGGGGCTCATCCCCCTTCCCCTCTGCCGAATGCAGAAGTGCCAACCGCCAGCCACCCCCCCCCCATGCCATGCAGGCCACATCCTGCTCCCAGGGAGGGATGGAGGGATGGAGGGCTGCTCCAGGCCTGAGCCTGCTCCAGCTGGAGCACCCAGCTCCCATCCCACACATGGGAAGCACAGCAGAGCCGGACCAGCCCCCCAGTTGTGCTGTGGTGCCTACAGTGGGTTCCCTTCGCTGGGAGATCTCCAGCGTTGCCCCTTCGAGCAGAGCTCAGCTGGCAGAGACCCAGCAGCTCAGGGCACTGCTGTCGTGCCCTGGGTGCCCCAGCACTGCCCTCAGCACCGTGCTGCAGCGGGAGCACTGGAATGTGCTTGTCTCCCCAGATGGAGTCCGCCTGCGTCACCATCCACGAGGCACTGAACACGGTGATCGACTCCCAGACCCATTACCGCCTGCGGGAAGCGCAGGACCGGAGCAGAGCCGAGGAGCTCAACGGCCGGGTCTCGTACTGGTCGGTCGGGGAAACCCTCATCCTCTTTGTGGTCAGCATTGGGCAAGTGCTGCTGCTCAAAAGCTTCTTCACCGAGAAGCGCCCTGGCAGCAGCAGCACCAGCAGCACCTAGAGCCTCAGCCACGCCACACTGAGCTGCGTGGGGAGCGGGCAGCAGCGTTCTCCTGGGTCACCTCGTGCTTTGCAAGGGGCTGCTGCTGGGAGGGCGCTGCAGGCAGCAGGGGATGCCGTGGTGCTGCTGAGCTGGGTGGGAAACAGTCACCCAAGTACAGGCATCCCCTGGCAGGTCTCCCCTAGCATCACCTCCCACTGCAGCATCGCCCAGCCTGCGGCTCTGTCCCCATTCCTGACCGGTCTATGTCTGCTCTCCAGCTTCTCTGGGGGAGCGGGTGGGTGTCCTGGACCAGCACCAACCCTCCAGACCCTTGTCCAATGACTGGTATACTGTCAGAGCATGGGGGAAAGAGCCCCAGGGCAGAGATAAAGCCAACAGCAGTATCCCAGGAGCTGCTGACTCATAAACAGAGCCGAGGTTTCAGCTGGAGCTCATTGCTTGATGATTCCCATCACTTGATGGGTCCTGTGGTTCCCATTGGTTTGCAAGTCCCTGTCCTCACAGTAAAGTGTTACTCAGGCCTTTCTCTGCCACAGGAGCAAGTGATGTGCCCTATGCAAGATCACAGAATCATGGAATGGTTTGGGTTGAAGGGACCTTAAAGATCCTCCAGCTCCAACCCCTGCCACGGGCAGGGACCCCTTCCACTGGAGCAGCTTGCTCCAAGCCCCTGTGTCCAACCTGGCCTTGAGCACTGCCAGGGATGGGGCAGCCACAGCTTCTCTGGGCACCCTGTGCCAGCGCCTCAGCACCCTCACAGGGAAGAGCTTCTGCCTAAGAGCTCAGCTCAGTCTCCCCTCGGGCAGGTTCAAGCCATTCCCCTTGGCCTGTCCCTACATCCCTTGTCCCAAGCCCCTCTCCAAGTTAACTGTCACCCCTTTAAGTACTGCAGACTGTTATTTTCACACTTACAATCATACACACCAGGGGCTTGTCCCCCCTGCACATCCCAGCAGCAGCGGGCACAGCTCTACCTCATCCATCCCAAGGAAGCCCTATCCCTGCCAGCCACAGCAAGGATCCCCTGTGCCCCTGGGACTGCAGCCCCATTCCCTGGAGCCCCACAAGGCAGAGACCACCCGGAGCAGCACCACTGGTTCTTTGCTTTGCTACTGCCCAATAAACCCTGTGACTGCGGCTGCGCTGGGCCCCGCTCCCAGCACTCGCAGCTCCGGGTCCTGCCCGGCAGCAGGGATGGAGGGGCTGAGGGAGCCCAGCGCCCACTGCAGCAAAGGGGGACCCCCCGAGACGCTGCCGGGAGCCGGCCGCTTGCCTCAGTGCTGGCTGCAGCGAAGCTCCCCAGGGCTCCTGCGGCAGCGCCGGCCTTGGGCAGCTGCTGCACAGCCGGGAGCAGCAGGGCCCCGCAGTGACCTTCAGTGGGAGCCAGGAGCTCCCGTGTGGAGCGGGGCCGCAGCGGCAGGGAGACCGCAGCCATGGCCCCCACTGGGACCAGGAGCTGCTGCGGAGACACGGCACCAGCCCTGGACACCCCCTGGGGTCTGCCCTGCACTGGGACCACCCCATGGCAGGGATGGAGCAGCCAGGAGCAGCTCCAGGCCAGCCACCACACCAGGGATGGTGCGCCGGGGCTCTGGGGACCCCAGCCCAACTCAACCAGGGACGCAGGCAGGACAGGAGGTGGCCAGGGGGTGCTTTATTGCCGCACAGAGCTTGGCAGTCACAAAAAGGGGCTGGGAGCACCCACACCAGCCCCACCACCTGCAGAGGCACTTTGGGGTGCAGGCAGCAGCAGTGACCCCCCCAAACCCTGGCAGACCTGTCCTACTGCTGCTGTCCCCCCCGCTGAGCACCCTGGGGCGTCCCCATGGCACGGGGCCGTGTCCCCTCACAGGGAGCTGCTCTGTCAGGAGCCGGTGCCTGCGGGCAGCTCCCGCTGCTGCGGCAAGGACGAGGCCGAGCAATGGAAGGAGCCGGTGGCCAGGGAGGGCGACTGGGGCTTGGGTCTGTGCCCACAGGGGCAGCCCCAGCCCCTCCGGAAGGGGATGGTGAAGAGCCCATAGGTGATGGGGTCCAGACACGCATTGAAGAGGCCAAAGATGAAGAGGATGTGGGCAAGGGAGGGCGAGACTCGCTTCTGCATGGCCCGGGGGCAGAACCAGTACCACAGCCCCAGCAGGTAGTAGGGGGTCCAGCAGAGGATAAAGGAGGAGACGATGACCAGGCTCATCTTCAGCATGCGCAGCCGTGCTCTGGGGATGTTGTTCATGGAGCACCGCAGCGATGCATCCTGGGAGGAGACTGAGGGAGACCATGGCCCATGAGTGGGGGACACTGAGCAGCCTGGCTGGAATGGGGATCCCATTCCCTAAGGGAGGGCTGCTCCAGCCAGGGCTCCCTCCTGCTCTCCCCATCCCAGTGTCCCTGCAGAGCCCCCGGGCACAGGGTCGTGGCATCCCAGGCACTCACAGAGGCTGGAGCCCAGGCGCCGGGAGATCTCCAGGAGGATGCGGGTGTAGCAGCAGACCATGATGAGCAGCGGGAGCAGGAAGAGGCAGGTGAAGCCCAGCATGTTGTAGAAGGTCTCATGCCAGGGCTGGGCAAAGCTGCCGAGCGTGGTGCACTGCGTGAAGTTGTGCAGGGGGTGGATGGTGATCGTGACCGTGCGGAAGAGGAAGAGCTGGGGGCAAAGCAGAAGTGGGGTGGCAGCGCCCTCTCCGGGGGCTCCAGGCCTCCCTAAGGTAGAACACCAGTATCCAAGCCAGGGACTATTGGAGCCACAGGGTCAGACCCTGGTCATTGGAGTGGGACCCAGAGTCACTCATGCACCAGACGGGCTCCCCACTCCCAGGGAATCGCAGCACACAGAGGAGGGCACTCAGCTGCCTCTCCTCCAAGCCCTCTCCATCCCTGTCCTGCAGGGCTCACGGCAGCACCGGGCCTGGGATTAACCCAGCCGGGCACCCTGGAAGGGCGAGAGCCTTCCCTGGGGCATGAGCCGGAGCAGAGCCCTGCGCTGGTACCTGTGGTGCTGAGAGCACCGCGCTGAGGAGCCAGGCGACCTGCAGCATGATGCGGTTCCTCCTCTGGGCACGGGCGATGGCCAGCGGGCGCAGGATGGCAGCCTGCCGGTCCAGGCTGATGACGACGGTGACGAAGGCAGAGGCGTACATGGCCAGCAGCCGCAGGTACATGAGGAGGCGGCAGGCCAGGTCGCCCGCCCGCCACTGCAGCGTCATGTTCCAGACGGCGTCCAGCGGCATCACGGCCACGGTGAGCAGCAGGTCGGCAGCGGCGAGGTGCTGCAGCAGCAGGCGGATGTGGGAGCGCCGGGCTCCGCGCCGGGACCCCGCCGCACGCAGCACCGCCAGGTTGCAGCCGGCGGAGAGGGCGAACAGGGCAAAGGTGATGGCCACGCGCGCCTGGGCAGCGGGTGAGAACGTGGGCACCCGCAGCGGCTCCTCAGCCCCCTCGGCCCGGGGGGTCCAGGCGCAGCCCTGATACAGGGCACCCACGCTGCTGGAGGGCTTCACGCTGCCGTTCCCCGTGGGGTCCCCTCCTGCGGCAACAGACAGCCTGGGATTGGGGATCCGGGGGGATGGGTCCCTTGGAGCCCTGCTCCCTGCCCCACACCACGGTGTCTGCACCCCAGCTCCCTGCCTTCCCCTTCAGCTGCTCCCTCCATCCCCGCTGCTCCCCCCGAGCCCCTCACATTGCCACAGGGGTCCTTGGCACTAAAGAGGGCAGAGTGAAAGAGTCTTGGCTGACCCCAAGTGCTGCCCATCATCCCGCAGCCTGGAGCATCCCTTGTGGTCCTGCATGGGGATGGAGACACTCGCACGCAATTCCAGGGCTCCCAAGGGAACCAGCACCCGCTCCCCACCAGCACCACCACCACCTCACCTCCAGCCAGGGTGTCCTGTCCAGCCATGGCAGGGTCACCGCTCGTCCACACCCGCACTGTGCCTGGTGAATGAGTGGGGAAGGTTCTGCTGCCTCCGGCACCCGCAGCACCTCTGCACCCGCTGCCAGGAGACACTGGGCAGGCAGCTCTGGGTGCCCTTGGCTGGTGGCTCAGGTTCCTCCTTGACGTAGCCAAGCTGGGAACAGCTCAGTCCTGCACCCTGCACCACCCCCGTGCACAGGGACACCTGAGCGTGCACAGAGCTCCTGTGCACACACAGACCCAGGTTCACGGTTCTGTTGATGCAGAACATGGATATGGATATGGATATGGATATGGATATGGATATGGATATGGATATGGATATGGATGTGCATGTGCACGTGCACGGACAGCTCTGCCTGCAGTCCGAGGCCCTCCATACCCGCTCCCGCTGCACCGGCTCATCCCAGATCCCACCCTAATGGAGCAGGGCCCCTGCTGGGTACCTTGTGCAGCTGCCGGCCTGGGTCAGCCCCCGGGAGCAGGGGTAGGTGCTCAGGGCAGCAGGGACGGCCCCACAACCGGAGCTCCCAATTCCCTTGAGCCCTGGCTGGGGAGATCCGCAGCAGAGGAGGGGGCGGCGGGGGCTGTTTTGCATCTCAAAGGCTTCGCCCGCCTCGGCAGAGGGAATTAACGTAATTAGCGAGTCATTTCACAGATAAGCGCCGCTCATTAGCCCCGCAGGCCCCCGCCCCAGAGCCCCGGCGCATTCGCACCTGGCTGCCAGCCCCAGCACCGTCCCATTAATGGGGGACCCCCGTGGGGAACCGTGGAGGAGGTTCCTCTGTAGCTCCCGCGCTCCGCTCCGTCTGCGGGGTCTCCGGCCCCGTGGGGGGGGGTCAACCCCACGCCCCAGCCTGTTGCTGGGTCCCCAACACCCACATTTCACTTTGTGCTGCGGGGCTCGCAGCAGCACAGGGGCGGGCAATGCTCAGCTCACACCGAGCCCCAGAGCTGGACCCGCGGGTGCTGGTGACCCCCATTCCTCCTCGGCCTCCCCACAATGGCTTTCCCAGGTGTGGTCCAGCCTGCCCGAGCAGCAGTCCCCAGCCTCTGCAGCCCAGCCAGGCAATGCTTGTACCCACACCAAAGCCTGGTAAGATGCCTGTGTCCAGCCTGTCTGCAGAGCATGAGTTCACCAGCTTGGGCATCCTCTCCTGTACCCAAACCTGCCGCCAGAGCCAATGCAGTGACCAGGGAATGGAGCATCCCATCCTGTACCTGGCTGCTGCTGTGGGAACAGCCACACGGTGACACATGAAGGGGCACGAGGGTTTATTTATGTACAGTCGCAGCACCCCAGCGTGTCCAGCACAGCTCCAGGCCCACGTGAGAGGCAGCTCCTCCCCACCACCCCCCCACTGTCCAAGAGGGGACACGGTCCCCGAGCTGTTTCATCCATGTAGTGTGTCATGGGGCCGCATAGCACCGGGCAGCTGGGGTTTGACCGGGTCAGTCCTGGCGCTGCGGCGGGAGCAGAGCTTCTAAAAGGGAGAGCAGGTCTGCAGACAGGTCCTGGGGAGCAGAGCATGGGTCAGAGGGGGACCAGCCAGGATAGGAGCTTGGGGCGGTTGATAGAGACCACCCACAATGGAACGGGCTGAACACGAGGGAGGGTGGTACTGTGGAGGGCCAGGGACCTGCATGCATCCGCTACAGGGAGAAGGACACCCCTTCCTTCCTAACCCCAGACAAGGCTGTTGTCACCCCACATCTGGTCCTCACAGTGCTCCAAGCTCTGAGTGCACAAGGGAGTGACCAGCGCCCATGGGCTCAACCCAACCCCGTACCTGGGTGACAGTCCCTGCATCCACAAACTCCGGCAGCGTCAGCCCCGCATCCAGGAGGGGGTCTCCAGGGAGGTCCGGAGGAGCTCCTGCCCCATGAAGGGGGGATGGCCACGAGCACGTGTCGGAGGTGACGGCGCTTCCGTACAGCTCCGGGGGGGTCCTCATCGAAGGGATGTAGGGGGGCGACCCCCAGGCTCCCGGCCCCATGTCTGGAACCCCAAGCACCTCCGGGGGGGGCCCTGCTGCAGCGCCACAGGGAGGTGACGACCCCCAGGCCCCCGGCCCCACGCCGCCAGCCCCGAGCAGCTCCGGGGGGGGCCCGGCCACGGGAGGTGACCCCCAGCCCGCGGCGCCGGGGGGCGAAGCAGCGCGCGGGGCCGGGGCGGGCGGGAGCGGGCGGGGGTCCGGGCTCCGGCAGCACCCCAGGCCCTGGGGGCAGAGCGGGCAGTGCCGGGGCGCCGCCCCCCGCCGCCGGGCCAGCGCCTCCTCGCTGAGCCCCAGCAGCGCCGAGAGGTGCGCGATGTAGCGGGCGGCCAGGCGCAGGGTCTCGATCTTGGTGAGGCTCTGGCCGGCGGGCGCCAGCGCGGGCGGCAGGTAGTGCCGCAGCCGCAGCAGGGCCTGCGCCAGCCGCCGCATCCGCAGCTTCTCCCGCTCGCTGGCGCTCTGCCGCGGGCCCCCCGCTCCCCGCGCTCCCTTCCTGCCCCTGGGGCCGCGCGGGGCAGCGGGGCCGCTCCGGGGTCCCCGGGCAGCGGCGGGCGATGAGAGGCCGCAGGAGTCGGGCGAGGCTGCGGGCGAGCTGCTGCTGTAGCCCTCGGGGTCCGGGGGGCCGCGGCAGCCCCAGTGCTGCAGCAGGGATGTGGGGAGCAGCGGGAGGCCGGGTTCTGCCATGGCTGCGGCTGCGGGGCCGTGTGCCGGCGGCTCCCGGCCGGCCTGGCTTTATGCGAGTCCGAGGTGTGAAGTGGCACCTTCGTGGCCGCCACCAGCAGCACTTCAAAGGCCGGGTGGGGGCGAGGGCTCTGAACACGGGGGTGACAAATCTCACCCCAGAGCTGTGGGGCTGCTCCTGCTGCCTACCTCTCCCCCCCCCCCCATCGCCAACCATCACCCTGCCTCTTGTTCTGAGGATGGGCTTGGGCCCTGGGCACTGGGGTGATCAGTGGGGGCTGCAGTGGGGTGTCCTAGAGGGTCTGCACTGGGGTGCAAGCTGCAGAAGTGCCAGCTCTGGGGGTCCACATCCTCCACCACACCGGGTGGCTCCCGGGGACACCGCCCCGGGCACGGCCCCTCCAGGTCCGCACTAGCGGCACTTCGCAGTCACCCGTCGGGAGAGCGGCCGCAGCCCGGTGCCGGTGCCGGTGCCGGTAGCGCTGCGAGGGGCGGCCCCGGGCGCGGTGACCCCACGGGGGGGGGTGTGTGAGGGGCCCCCCCGCCGCGTTCCCAGGCCCCGCAGGTGTCGGCGCCGGCGGGTGCGAACGTTTCCAGGGAAACCGGCCCCGCGCGGGAAGGAAAATCCATCAGGGAGCGGGCGGGGGGCGGCCCCGGCGCGTGGAGCTCAGCACGGGGAGCCCCAGCATGGGAACCCCGCAGCAGAGCCCGGGGTACGGCGGGGGTCGGGACCCCCCGATCCGGAGGTGCAAGCGCCCCTGTCTAAAATGAGGCACCAGCCACAGAGCTGGGAAGGGGGCATGGAGCCAGCAGTGGGGTGACAGGGCAGCCCCTCCCCAGGGAACTGCTGGTGACACAGCGAGTGATCAGCGCCTCATTGCTCACGGGCTCGTTTTTCCTAGCGGTCACATGAAGCTTGTTCAGTTTTCCCTGGCGATGCCGTGACACGGAGGTGACAAAGATAAGTCCTGCTCACCGTTCACTGCTGCCTGAGCACTGCTGCCACACTGGAACCGGGCACACGGCTCAGCCCGGGCAGCCCCGGTCCAGGGCTCCAGCGGTGCAGAGGCAGTGGGGACGGGACACTGACCTTCTGTGGTCCCCTCATGGCACTGGGCCCGGTGCTGCTGGGGCTCAGCGAGGGGCCCATGCCGCATCCAAGGCCCAAAGGGTGCTGGTACCCCCCCGGACCCCCAGCACGGCTCTGGGTGCGCGCGTCTCGTGCTGTCCCAGAGCCCGTCTCCATCCCTGGGGGCTGCAGTGGGGGTCCCGGGCGCTCTGCGGGGTGCTCAGCACGCAACAGCACAGCCCAGGGCACGGCCCCTTCCCCTGTGCCCCTCGGCGCTGCCCCAGCCCCGCTCCCCCGCCCATTCCCCGGCCCCCTCCTGGGTCTCATTAGCTGATGAGCTCCCGGGTAATGAGTTCTGCGGCCCCGCTGCGGCCGTTTCCCACCTCCCTCTGTTTAGACAAGTGCTGGATCACGGCTGGGCCGTGACAGCGCTGCTGTGGGGTCAGAGACCTGCGAGGGACAGCCCGCAGCCCCCCACCCTTCAGGGGAGATGGATCCCCCCACGACCCTCTGGCACGTTTAGGACCATAGGGTGGTGGTGAGGGCACAGGAATGGCGCTTAGCCTCAGGGTTCCTCGTGATGCTGCTGGCCAAAGCCCTCCTGTGCCCCAGAAGCAGGCAGTCCCCCAGTAAGGAATCCCACCAGGGAGCCTCCCCAGAGCACCTTAATATCCTCCCTGGACTGCCCGTCCCTGCTCCAGCACCTCTGTCTGCATGGCTCCCAGCCCTGGCTGCGCACTCTTGTACCCCCAGCTAGGATGGGGACCGCTGGCAAGGATAGTGCCAGGCCCAGGGGTGAGGCATATAAAAGCATCCCAGGAAACAAGCATCCCAAAGAGCTCAACATCCCCATGGGGCTGCCCACTGGAGACCCAGTCCACAGCCTGGGTTTCACACAGTGGGTGAGGAAGACCAAGTCAGTGCAGCCAGCACACGGATGTCTCCTGGGAAAGGAACATGTCCAGAGGAGGCCATGGAGATGCTCCGAGCCCTGGAGCAGCTATGTTCTGGAGCCAGGCTGAGAGAGCCAGGGGTGTTAACTGGAGAAGAGAAACACCTGTGCCTAAAGCGGCTGCAGGAAACCTGGAGAGGGGCTTGGGACAAGGGCCTGTAGGGACAGGCCAAGGGGAATGGCTTGAACCTGCCCGAGGGGAGACTGAGCTGAGCTCTTAGGCAGAAGCTCTTCCCTGTGAGGGTGCTGAGGCGCTGGCACAGGGTGCCCAGAGAAGCTGTGGCTGCCCCATCCCTGGCAGTGCTCAAGGCCAGGTTGGACACAGGGGCTTGGAGCAAGCTGCTCCAGTGGAAGGGGTCCCTGCCCGTGGCAGGGGTTGGAGCTGGAGGAGCTTTAAGGTCCCTTCAGTCCAAACCAGTCTGGGACTCTGTGATTCCGCTCTCATCCTACCACTGGTGCACAGCACATCCCTGCCCCTCGGGGTACTTGGTTTGAGCCGTGGGCACAGCAAGGACTCCCGGCCCTGGAGAGGTGGGGGGACACTGTTGGGTATCAGGGTGCCAGCAGTGGAAGGTCAAGTCCCCAGTGGCAGGGCTGCCGTGCAAGGCGATGCGGGCTTGGCAGGGCTGGTGGACGCGTTAGCATCTCTCATGGCCGTGTGAATTGGTTCCTGCACACTTCCCAGCGCCGGGCAGCGCCAATTAAGGGTCCGAGGAGTCAGAACTGACACCTCTGCAAATGGGTCCGGCATTCCCAGGCTCCCGACCGGCCCCAACCCGGCTCTGTAGGTTTTGACACCTCCGGGCGGCCACAAAGACATCACGTCCCATAAAGCCGGGGCACCCCTAGTCCCGGGCAGCGGAGCAGACCCCAGCCATGGCCGGACCCCCAGCCCCGCTCCTGCCCTGCGGCTTCCAGCTCCCAGGACACGGTGTCCCTCTGCGGGGCCCCGACGATGCCACCCCCCCAACTCCCGCCGCTCCGCACGTCCCGTCCCGCTGTGCCCCGCGGGGCCGGCGCCCGGGGCCCGGGGCTGAGCCGTGGCGGTGCGGGGAGCGGGGCCCGCGGCAGAGCGCCAGCGAGCGGGAGAAGCTGCGGATGCGGCGGCTGGCGCAGGCCCTGCTGCGGCTGCGGCACTACCTGCCGCCCGCGCTGGCGCCCGCCGGCCAGAGCCTCACCAAGATCGAGACCCTGCGCCTGGCCGCCCGCTACATCGCGCACCTCTCGGCGCTGCTGGGGCTCAGCGAGGAGGCGCTGGCCCGGCGGCGGGGGGCGGCGCCCCGGCACTGCCCGCTCTGCCCCCAGGGCCTGGGGTGCTGCCGGAGCCCGGACCCCCGCCCGCTCCCGCCCGCCCCGGCCCCGCGCGCTGCTTCGCCCCCCGGCGCCGCGGGCTGGGGGTCACCTCCCGTGGCCGGGCCCCCCCCGGAGCTGCTCGGGGCTGGCGGCGTGGGGCCGGGGGCCTGGGGGTCGTCGCCTCCCTGTGGCGCTGCAGCAGGGCCCCCCCCGGAGGTGCTTGGGGTTCCAGACATGGGGCCGGGAGCCTGGGGGTCGCCCCCCTACATCCCTTCGATGAGGACCCCCCCGGAGCTGCACGGGAGCCCTGGCTCCACCTCAGGGTCGTGGTCGTCCCCGCTGTGCAGCCTCGGAGCAGTGACCCCCCTGCAGCCCCCCCAGAGATGCACCGCGGCCACGGGCACCGCTCCAGCCTCCTCCTGCTGCTGGGAGCCTGCAGCCCCTCCTCAGCCTCCCACGGCGGGACTGACGGACACAGGACCCCCTGCGGCCCCAGCGCCTGGCTCCCAGCTGGCCGCGCACCTCCAGGTACTCACGGCCTCACCCCCGTTCCCTCCTCCCGCACCCCCGGGGCTGGGAGAGAGCCCAGGGATGGATGGGCAGGGGTGTGGGTGCTCTTCATGGGGTGCTGGACGGGCTTCATCTATAATCCCCCCCACGGCATGGCCAGGGTGCCTGCCTGGGCTTGTGGCACAGCATGATGTGCACTGAGCCAGAGGGTGTGGAGTGTGCAGCATGGGGCACAGGATGTGGGGCCAGAGGTGAAGGACACAGGGTGCTGGGCAGGGACTCGGGGTGCTGGGCAGGGCCACGGTGCCTTCCTGCAGCCTCTCACCTCACACAGCTCTCCCCACACAGCTCCGCATCCCACCGGCCCTGGACAGCATCCTCGCTGCAGTGCCCCACACAGCCTCGGTCCTGCCTGGCTGCCCCCCAGCACGGCACTGGGGGGGCTGGAGCTGATCCTGCACCCTCGGCCACAGAGGCTGCACAGGGGACAGGGACGTGGCCATGCGGGATGGACACCAGGGTCAGGCTCCTCAATAAAGCTGCTGTGCACTGCTGCAACTCAGGTCATTACTGCGGGACCCCGATCGCTGCGCCCCAGCTCCAGTGCCTTTGGAGCCGAGGCACCCCATGGGCTGGTACCCCCACAAGCACACAGAGCCAGGCACTGCCTCTGAGCCAGGGGCACCCACAGCCAAGAGCTGTCCCTAAGGGTGATGGAGGGACCCCCCACCTGGGGTAGCTCCTGCCCCTTCCCTGCAAGGGTTTGGCACTGGGGCTGCTGGGACCATCCAGCTCCATCCCTTGGGGACCCGGGCATCCCACGGGGTCCGGCTGCAGCACCCTCTTGCACACCATGCCCACGCTGGTGCCTCCTTGCCCTATCCTGCAGAGGCTGCCGGGAGGGTCACACTGTGCAGGGGATGCTCACAGCAGCACTGAGCAGGGCAGGGGCCCAGCAGGAGAGCTCACACGCAGCCGTCAGACAGAGGGGCTGGGGCCTGGCGTCACCAAAGCCCCCAGAGCCACTTAGCACCAGGCTCCTAATGGCCCCCACCCCACGGTCCCAGGAGCTTCCTGCCCCCCCCCGCAGCACCCAGAGCAGGGTGATGGTGTGAATCCTTTATTTACATCCCAGGCCCTGCCTGAGCCTGCAGAACCCAGTGCCTCACTGGGCAGCAATGTCTGCAGGGACCCCCCAGGCCCAAGGCCTCCCATTGCCCCCTCTGCTGCCCATCATACAGGCGTCAGGCACAGCCCCTCAGGAGCAGCGATTGTGGGGTGTCCCCTGGGGTGTCCCCAGGATGGAGTGTTTCAGGATGGGAGATGGAGGGGATGGAGTGAAGAGAGATGGGGAGGGGATGAGGCTGCGGGGTGGTGGGCTCTGGGAGGTGAGCACATCAGCTGGTTAGCTGGTTATTTGGTTAGCTGGTTATTTGGTTAGCTGGTTATTTGGTTAGCTGGTTATTTGGTTAGCTGGTGAGCTGGAGCCAGTCTCGCCCTGGAACCAGGCCAGCACCTTCTGCTGGTTCTCATTGACCCAGTTGATGTTGGTGCGGGTCCTCTCCAGCGCCTGCTCCAGCGCTCGCGTCCCTGACCCGAAGCCGATGTCCTGGTTGTCTTCCTTGAACTGCTCCAGCTGCCAGGGGAAGAGAAGTTGGAGCCGGCGTGGGGCACCCGGCTGCGCCCCGGACAGGGACAGAACCTGGCCAGAGCCTGGGGACCCAGGGGCAGGGGCAGGTTGGATGGTGCCAGCAGCACAGAGCAGGGCGGGGGTCCCTTGTTCCTGGCCCCATGGACCCCCAGGACCGCTGCCAGGGTCCAGCCTCACCTGCTGCAGCTCAAACTCCGTGGAGAACCGCTGGGTCACCGATGAAATCAGCTGGGAGAAGGAGAAGGAGCCGCCTCCGTACCTGGAGAGCAGAGTGGCGCTGAGCCGGGGGCTCTGGGCAGAGCGGGACTGGGGACAGGGCCTGGAGCCACCCCCGAGGGTCCCAGGCAGAAGGGGGGTGCTGCCTGCCCTGCGCCCCCTGCAGAGCTCACTGGGTGAAGATCTGTCTCCAGTTGCTGCGGACGAAGTCCCAGGCCAGGGGCTGCCCCACCACGTTGCTGGCGATGCTGTTGATGGTGGAGGTGGCGTCCTGCTTCCGGATCTTGCTGGGGTCGAGGGTGTACTGCAGGTACCTGGGGGAGGCGCAGCGCCGGTGAGGGGCTGCAGGGGCCGAGCCGCGGAGCCCACCGGGGCCCTGCACCCACCGGTTGAGGATCCAGGGAAGGCGGCTGCAGGTGAGGGCCGTGCGGAGCTTGTCAGCCTCGGACACCACCGGCGCCTCTTTGAACCTGTCCCACATGAAGTCCCAGGCCCCCTCCCCGCCCATGGCCACGATGCTGCAGTAGATGGAGGAGCGAAGGTTCGGGGGGATCCTGCGGGACAGAGGAGCCGTCAGCCAGGAGCCCCGCACCCAAGGCGGCTGCAGCACCGGGCACGGGGCGCTCACGGGTTCCTGGAGATGTTCTGCTGCCACTGCTGGAAGTAGCTGTTGGCCAGGTCCTGGCACTCGGCAATGCCGTAGGAGCAGGCTGTGCTGATGGCATTGATCTCGCTGTACCTGGGGAGAGAGGGACCATGCAGGGCTGGGGACCAGCACACGGCAGCCAGGGAACAACCAGGAACATGCCCTGCCCTGGTGACCATCCCGGTGTGGTGGGGGAGACCTTGGGGTGCAGCCCAGCCGCGGGGCTGTGGCACTCACTGCTCCATCAGGCCACTGGGGATGGTGGTCCAGTTACTGGTGATGGTCTTGTAGTAGTTGAAGAGGGGCATCACCTGCTGCTGTATGTATTTCTGGGGGGCAGGAGGATGGTCAGCACCAGACCCTCTGTTCTGGGGCAGACCCCGGCCCGGCACAGGGCTCTGCTCACCGTCATCACCCCAAAGACCTCGCTGCGGTCAAACATCAGCTTGAAGTAGGCGAGGTTGTTGAGCGCTGCCTGCCAGGGCATGTACTGGGTCTCGTGGCTCAGGAACCGGGTGGTGCTCAAGGCCAAGGTCACATCAACGTAGTGCGCCCTGCGCGGGGAGAGGACAGCATCAGCACCCACCGGGTGCTCCCCTGGTGCCGCCGGCACCGCGGCAGCCGGCACAGCTCACCTGGCCAGGTTAAAGGCATCATCAATGATCTGGGCACGGTTGATCACGGGGATGGCCTGCAAGAGAGGGCAAGGTCAGCATCAGCGCTGAGTGGGGCGCATGGGGTGGGGGCCCCTCCCTGGCCCCGGCCAGCCCCATGTACCTCGTGGTTGGTGGAAAGCTGCTTGAGGAGCTGGTCCCAGTTCTCCTGGTTGTAGTTGACGCGGAAGTACCCACTGACGTTGAGGTTCAGCAGGAGCCAGCTGGAGCTGCTCACCTGGAACTCGGGTTTGGTTTCTGGGGGGTGGAGAGAAGGCTCAGACCCCCCCACACTGGTACCGTCCCCCCTGGGACCCCCGCTCCCCGCCGGGCAGGATGTGCCCTACCTGAGACACTGGTCAGCCACTGCCTCTCCCCAGTGCTCTCCGGCGTCATCCAGGTGATGGGCACGATCCAGGTGTAGCTGTGACGGGACAGGCAGGCAGTGGGACCGTCCCTCAGCCCCGGCCTCCCCAGCACCGCCTGCCGTGGCCCCCAGCTCACTTGAAGACAGAGGGTCTCTCCACCACGGAGTCGCGGTCCAGCAGGAAGTGGCTCTGCCTGACGGAGCCATCCAGGGTGTTGACGGTGACCAAGGGAAAGCCCATTTGCAGTGTCCAGCGGTCCATGATGTCGCTGATGCTGCCGGGCAGCTGGAGGCCGCTCCTCCGGACAGCCTGCGGCAGGGCAGCACCACGGGTCACCAGTGACAGGGTGCGGGTTGGGTGCTGCACCCCGTGGCCAGGAGCCCCGAGCCAGGGCAGCAGCAGGGATGGGGCTGAGGCATGGGGGGCAGCTGGGAGCCACCAACCCCTCCTACCTCTTCCAGATGGAGCCAGAGGTCTGTGTAGACGGTGTTCCCATAGGCGAAGGTGTGCAGGTAGGACTGCGGGAGAGAACCAGCGTGAGCAGCAGCAGGCCCGGAGCAAGGGACTCCTGCAGAGCACCCAGGCAGGTCCCTGCCATGGGACCCCCCCAGCTCCAGCAGAGCCTCACCTGCAGCCCCTGCTTGAACACGTCCTCGGTGAGGAAGTCCGAGAGCATCCGCAGCACTGAGGCTCCCTGCGGGCAAGGCGGCTCAGAGACCCGGTGCATGGGACACCCGGTGCACAGGACACACGGTGTATAGGACACCCAGTGCAGGGGACACCCGGTGCAGGGGACACCCGGTGCAGGGGACACCCAGTGCAGGGGACACACAGTGCACAGGACACACAGTGTATAGGACACCCGGTGCAGGGGACACCCAGTGCAGGGGACACACAGTGCAGGGGACACCCGGTGTATAGGACACACGGTGCAGGGGACACATGGTGTATAGGACACGGTGTATAGGACACACAGTGTATAGGACACCCGGTGCATAGGACACATGGTGTATAGGACACGGTGCATAGGACACACAGTGTATAGGACACACGGTGCACAGGACACACAGTATATAGGACACACGGTGCACGAGACACACGGTGTATAGGACACACAGTGCACTGGTCACACAGTGTATAGGACGCACGGTGCACGGGACACACAGTGTATAGGACACCCAGTGCAGGGGACACCCGGTGCAGGGGACACCCAGTGCAGGGGACACACGGTGCACGGGACACCTGGTTCATGGGACACCCGGTGCACAGGACACCCAGTGCAGGGGACACCCGGTGCATGGGACACACAGTGCACAGGACACGCAGTGTATAGGACACCCGGTAGAGGGGACACCCGGTGCAGGGGACACACAGTGCACAGGACACGCAGTGTATAGGACACCCTGTGCAGGGGACACCCGGTGCAGGGGACACCCGGTGCAGGGGACACCTGCAGCCCCCCCCACCACAGGAACCCCTCTGTGCCCACCTTGCTGTAGGCGATGGAGTCGAAGACCTCGCTGATCTCGGCCGGGGTGTTGATCTCGTCCTCGCGGAAGGAGAGCGGGTGGGACGTGGTCAGGGCGTCTGTCGCCATCACCGTGTGCACCTCGTCCAGCACCATCAGGTCTTTCTGTGGGGGTGAGTGCCAGCACCCGCCTCAGCCCTGCCCCCACCCTGCCTGCACCCCGCTGCCCGATGCCCTGACGCTCACAATGTTCCAGGAGGGTTCTGCTGAGTCAGCACCCAGATACTCCACGTAGGAGGCGAAGCCCTCGTTCAGCCACAGGTCGTTCCACCACCGCAGCGTCACCAGGTTCCCGAACCACTGCGGGGGGGCACAGCGCCCGTCACACCACGGGGACAATGTGGGGATGGAGGGGGGACAGTGTGGGGATGGAGGGGGGGCAGCAGGGGTACGGTGGGTACCTGGTGCGCCAGCTCGTGGGCAATGACGGTCACCACCCGCTCCTTGTTCCCGATGGAGGAGTAGGCATCGTCGAAGAGCAGCGAGTTCTCCCGGTACGTCACCAGACCCCAGTTCTCCATCGCGCCCGCATTGAAGTCAGGGAGGCCAACCTGGTCTGGGGGCACAGGGGTCCTGGTGGTGCATCGGTGCCACCAACCTGGGTACCTCCAACGCTGGTGCCACCAACCCTGGTGCCACCAACCCCCAGTGCCATCACCCCCAGTGCCATCAACCCTGGTGTCACCACCCCCAGTGCCACCAACCCTGGTGCCTCCAACCCCCAGTGCCGCGGCACGCACCAGACTTGGGCAGCGGGTACGCTGTGTTGTAGTGCCTCTCGAAGAAGTTGAGGATGGGGCCAGTGACCTGCAGTGCGTACTCGCCCTGGCCCTCGGTGATGGCCATGGGGCGGCCCCAGATGCGGATCTGTAGGGGTGGGATGTGGGGCTCAGGCTCAGAGCCCTGGGTGGGCAGGGGGTCGGTCTGGGCCCCCCAGTCCTACCAGCACATTCTCCGACATGTTGTGCACGTATGTGAACTGGCTGACGATGAAGGCCAGGAGGTAGGTGGACATCCTGGGGGTGGTCTCGAACTTGGTGATGTTCCAGGTATTCCCATCGATCTGCTGCTGCTGGGTGCCTATGGGGAGCAAGGGGGAGGTCACCCCACAGCCCTGCCGGGCCCCAGAGCCCACTGGGGCTCCTCCCACCCCACTCACTCCTGACGGGCATGTTGGAGATGGCCTCGTGGTCGGAGGGGTGGATCAGCGTCACCGTGAAGTTGGCTTTCATGGCCGGCTCGTCGAAGCAGGGGAAAGCTTTGCGGGCATCAGCCGCCTGCATCTGCGTGGTGGCCACCACCCTGCTGCAAGAGACCCCATCAGCACCCGGCCCCCTCTGCTCGCCCCGTACGCGGCCGCTCTCAGCCCCATCCCCTGCCCTCCACCTACTTGGTGCCTGACTCGTCCACGTATTCGCTGCGGTAGAACCCGGCCAGGTCATCGGCCAGCTCCCCGGTGAAGATGCTGAAGAGCCGGTAGCGCTGGCCCTGCTGCAGCGGGCTGCCCAGCTGCACCACCAGGTACTGCGTGGTGGGCTGCAGCCAGGTCCTGGTGATGGGGGGCACGCTGGAGCCATCCACTGCCTGCAGCGAGGCGTGGAAGGAGCCCTGCAGGGTGTAGTTCAGTTTTTTGCTGTGGATGAGGATGAGGTCGGTGGCTTCCACGCAGACAAAGACCACGCTGCTGTTGCCCCTGAAGATGTACATGTTGTTAGCATCGGGCGTCAGGAAGGGCTGCAGGGTCACCTCGTAGAGCTCCGGCATCAGTGTGGTCGGCAGCCTCCAGTTGTCCCAGGCGTTGTGGGCAGGGGTGGTGGTGGGGGCAGGGGTGGTGGTGGGGGCAGTGCGGGTGGTGGGGGCAGTGCTGGTGGTGGAGGCAGTGCGGGTGGTGGAGGCAGTGGAGGCAGTGGTGGCAGCGGTGTTGGTGGTGCTGGGGCTGGTGGTGCTGGGCTCGGTGGTGCCAAGTTCCGTCACCTTGTTCTTCTCCTGGGCGTACACCACCGAGAGCGCGACGATGGTGGCCACAGCGCCCAGACCCAGCACCACGGCCACGGCGGCCACGCTCTTGCTGATGAAGAAGCCGGCCGCCATGGCGGGGCTGCGGAGCGAGTGTCGAGGGAGGTGCTGCCCGCCTGGCACGGCTTTTAGCCTCTCGCTCCCCCCGGGTTTATCAGCCCAGGTTAATGAGTGAAGGATTAAACAACCGTGGGGCTCGGGGGGGTGGCAGCCCCGGGGATGAGCTCTGCAGCAGCACTAACAGCCCTCACCGCTGCGGCGGGGGGATCGCCGGCACCTCGGGATTGCACCATCAGGGATGGGCAGCGCGGGAGCGGGCACGGGCTGGGGCTCCCAGGGACCCTCCTGGCCCTGCAAGAGGAGGGACGGGGCTGGCGCTCACAGTGCACCGCGGGGCTCCCCTGCCCGCAGCCCTCTCAATGCCCAGGGCCGCAGCGCCCAGCTCCTGCCGGGGTCAGGCTCCAGCCCGGGGCCCACACGCGCCGCTGCCACCCGCACGGGCACCCGCAGCCTGCACGGGCCAGGAAGCGTTATCCCCAACACCCTCCAGCCGCATGCAGCCTGGGACCGCAGGGCCCTGCTCTTGGGGACAAACCCCCCCGGCTCGTCCCCTACACACCACAGACCCCAGGGTGCTGCTGGGGGTCCGCATCCTCCCACCAGCCGTGGCCGTGCTCATCCCAGGGGAACGGCAGGAGAAGGGACAAAGCAGCAGGGACCCAGCCTGCCCATGCACCCTCCTCGCAGCACCCACAGCCCCCAGGCACACCGGGAACGGTCCCTGCTTGGGGGTGATCCCTATTCATCCCCCCCAGCCCAGCACCCTCTGCCCCAGCCCTACCGGCAGTGGTGGATCACAGACGTCCCAGTCCTTGAGGGCAGCCTACGGGCTCCGTGGGGTGCAGGTGGGTCTGTGGGGTGCAGTGACCCAGCACTGCCTGGGAACAGGGCCAGGATTGGGCTCAGCTGGTGCTTGGCAGAGCGAAAGCAAACATTTACCTACTGCAGGGCTACCCACTGGGCCGGGGCCAGCTCCATCCCCTCTGCCCTCCTGCCAAGGGGTGCTGGGGTCAGGGGACACTCTCCAGCAGGCAAAGCCCAGTTGAGTGCAGCAGAACCCAGCACCCATGGGTGCCAAAGTGCAGCCTTGGGATGGGTGATGGAGCCAGGAGCCAGCCCCATCTCTGGGTGACCCAGGTAGCTCAGCCAGGAGAGCCCGGAGCCCCTGGGCAGCCCCTGCTCTCCATGTCCGTGTCCCCCCGCTCACACTGGGCTGCAGGAGGGGCCCATGCCCGTGTCAGGCACCCACAGCCCTGCCCGGGGCAGGAACGCTGCTGCCCGCAGCCAGGCCTCACCTTCAGCAATGCCAGGTCCCTGGGGCTCCTGTCCCGGCTCCCCCCCAGCCCCGAGGCCCCCTCCGGGGTCAGGGCTGCAGCCTCCAGGTGGGGACATGGGTCCCGGGTGAAGCCCCAGCGGCCCCATGGGCTCTGCCTGCTCCCCCGGCCAGGCAGGACCCGCACGGGCTCGCTCTGCCCTGCACGGGCCCTGCTGCTCCCGCAGCCCTGGGGCAGGGTGTGGGAAGGGGCAGCACGAGAACATCCCCTGGCTGCAGAGGAAGCCGGATGCATCCTGCAGCGGGGCCGGACACAGGCACAGAGCAGCCACCACCGCCTGCCCCGCACCGACCCCGGCACCAAGAGCAGGACCCGGGCACCACTCCAAGCTCCTGGCTTTGGGCGAACCCAAGTCCAAGCAGATCCCACCCAACCCTCCCGGTGCCAAGCAGACCCCGGGGCACAGCCCAGAGCCCCACTCACCCGCTCCCTCCACGGCGCTGCTCCGGCAGCCACAGGAGGAGGAGGAGGAGGAGGGGGGCTGGCAAAGAAGAGGAAGCAGCAGGGTGTCCAGCTCCTTGACCCCAGGAGCCGGCCGTGGCCCCTGGCCAGCTGGGGAAGGGTTAAGCTGCAGGGAGGGGAGACAGCAGGAAAATTCCTTCCAGGCAGAGTCACTGTTTCCCTGCCAGGGGAAGTGGAGGCAGCGCCAGAGCTCAGGTCCCATGGGCTGGGGGGAAGCAGAGGAAGGGGCCCCAGGGCCAGCCCGGAGCCTGGTGGCCAGACGGAGCCAGGGCAGGGCCAAGGGCACGGGGCACCCAACCAAGCAGCTCCCACTGCACAGGGACCTCTGCACCCTAAGCCCCAGGACCCCCAGCCATGGGGGGACAGCAGCCCAGCACAGGGGGTCCCAGGCCCCATTTCCCACCCCACACAGCACCCGAGCACCCCCAGGCCAGGCCAGCAGCACCCACAGCAGACACAGGTTCACATGATGTTTATTAGGAGACAGGGACATGCTCCAGGAGACCCCAGCCTGGCCTGATCCTACAAGCTTCGGGCCCTGCAGGTACCCTCCAGGGTGGCTCCAGCTCCAGAGCTCATGGAGCTGCAAGGAACAACCCCAGCCAGGCTGGTTTCCCCCAGCACAAGGAGCAGGGTGGGCATGGGGATGGAGAGGGCCACAAGCCAGGGGCCATCAGCTACGAGTGCATTTTGACAGCCGGGAAACCCAAGAAGTGCTGGGAGAGGCAGGGCCCGGCTCTTCCCCCCCAGCAGGGACAGAGGCTGCACATTCCCGGGGAGGGAGGGAAGGGCACCCTTGGTGATGGGGCACCAGGGAGCAGAACTGAGCCCAGGTACCCGTGACAGCAGCACCGGCTCCTCGCTGAGCCCATCACCGCTGCCAGCCCCACAGCACAGGGGGGCCGGGGACAGGGGGAGCCCCGCTTCCCCCCAGGCCATGGCAGCTCAGCTCACATGAACTGCGAGAGGTTGGGCACCTTGATGTTGATGTCCCCGATGTTGATGTTGCGCGGGATCTCCGGCAGGTTGATGTTCTTCACCGCTGAGACCGCGCGGGAAGGAGCGGCCGAGAGCCCCCCCTGCGAGAGAGGGAGCGGTGATCCCAGCCTTCAGCCCTCAGCCCCATCACACCAGCACCAACAGGGCTGTGAGCCTGGATGGGAACAGCCACTTCCATGCCCAGGCTGCTCCTATGCTCCACAACAGCAAGGAGCAAGCCAGCGAGGGCCATCCCCAGCCTGGTCCCCAAGGACAGGGGCACACAGGGACTGGGGACACTGGGGACACCATTTGGGTGTCCCACGGCTGCCCTGCAGCGGGGTGCTCACCTCGGCCTTCTCCAGCTTGCTCTGGGCCTCCACCTGCGCCACGATCTCGTTCATGTTGGTCTCCAGCACCATGCCACCGATCACCATCTCCTGCAGGATGTGGTGAACCTGCGAGGGAAGCAGGGGAAGGCTGTGAACCCAGGAGCTGGAGAGGGGCTTGGGACAAGGGATGTAGGGACAGAGCAAGGGGAATGGCTTGAACCTGCCCGAGGGGAGACTGAGCTGAGCTCTTAGGCAGAAGCTCTTCCCTGTGAGGGTGCTGAGGCGCTGGCACAGGGTGCCCAGAAGCTGTGGCAGGGCTGGAACTGGCTGGGCTTTAAGGCCCCTTCCAACACAAAGCACTCCCTGAGGAAAGGCAGGACCCTGACACTGAGCTGCCTCCAGCCAGGGAGCTGCTGCCTCCAGCCAGCGATGCCCCAAGGGCCCGTCCTGGCTTCCAGCCCAAGGAGACAGGAGCAGCCCAGGGCGGGAACTGAGCTTTGCTGGGCACTGTGACCCCCTCCAGCCCCACCGCTCAGCACAGCCTCCCTGCTACCTCAGCATTCCCAAGCACCACCCAGCACAGATAATGGATTTATGGGTCCCTGGTTACTTCTGTGAAATAGGTGTTACTGGAAGACACTGAAGCTATTAGATTGCTTTATGGCTCCAGGAGGGCAGGTTGCACTCGTGAGCTCTGGGCAGCCACTGCTGCGGGGCACTGCTGTGGGAAACTGCGCCAGCAACAGAACCTGCTGGAAAGGGGATCCCAGCCTCGTGCAGGCCCCATCCTCCTCCCGGCAGCAGGAGCGTGGGCAGGATCAAGGCCAGGTTGGATGGGGCTTGGAGCAAGCTGCTCCAGTGGAAGGTGTCCGTGCCCGCAGCAGGGAGCTGGAGGTGTGATTCCATGATCAGCAGTGCACAGGGTGAGCCGGGCTGACCGCCCCTCCGAGGGCACCCGCAGCACTGGAGCTGCAGTCCCATAGCTCAGCCCCAGCCCCAGCAAACAGAGCAGCTCCTGCAACAGGAGAGCATCTGGGCTGCAGGAAACGTTGCTCCTTCGAGATGTGGCTTCAGCCCAAGTTGGACCCCAACCAGCAGGGCACAAATCCCAACCCCGCTTTGTTTTCCAAACCGAAAGAGCCCTTCCCGAGGAACCGCGTCCCCCATGGGGCCCTGCAGCTGCTCCATGAAACCCGTTCCCCACAGGGTACAAAGCACCCCCAGGGCCTGGGCCACAGCCTCCCCTTGTGACAGGGATCCCGCAGCTCCGAGGCTGCTGCTCCCAAAGGGGACCCAGCCCCGGGGCCATCGAGCTGCAGGGGCTGGACCTGCAACCCGCAGCAGCTCTCGCTGCAGGACCCTGCTCCCGGGCACAGCGGGAGCTGCACCTGAAGGCAGGAATGGAAACCCCACAGCGCGTTCCCTAAGGCTGCAACCAAGCTGTCGGGAGCAGGGGCACGCAGTGTGAGCACGGGAGAACTAAATACAGGCCCCATATAGAAACAGGGGCGCGATGACCAGGTGACAGCGGCCAAGGACTAAAGTCAAGGCTGAGAAGCAGCGGAAGCACAGGATGGGAAGCAAACAAGCCTGACTGATAGCGAGAACCTCAGGGCCACCGAGTCCAGCATCTCCCCTATCAGAAACCTGTCTCCTTGGAGCCCTTTGCTGGCAGGGGAGTTCAGAGAAGGGCAATTCCCACTGGGAAACAGGCACGGATCACGGGAATAACCTCTGCTGTGGGCTGAGCACAAAGCTGCCGGGGCTCGCTCACGCCACAGAGCGAGGAACCCAAGAGCATCCTCGGCTGTGGCCAGGGCTGACCCGGCCACTTCTCCACAGGTACCCTCCTTCCTTCCTCTCGTGTCTGCCTGGGTAAGGAGCTAAGGAGCGAGGGCTGCAGCACTGCGGGAGCTCACAGCAGCCACATTGCGCAACCCAAGCCTCCCTTCCCCAGCGCTGGCACCGGCGGCCCGGATCCCTGCCAGCAGGGTTTGCTGACCCCTCCTCTGCCAGGGTTCAGGAGCTGCAATTGCCACAGAGGGAACATTTTACAGCCCCGCTGCTTTCCCTTCCCCTCCTCCCTCCTGCTGGCGCGTTTCTCAGCAGCCACGCAAGTGCAGCACGCAGCGGCCAAGCTCTCCTGTCCCCAAGCACAGCCCCAGTTATCTTCAGCTCCAGCTCTGAGATGATGAGAGAAGAGGTTCCCGCCCAGAAACTGTCCAGCTAAAGAGGAACCATCACGGGCTCAACCCGAGGTTTACCAAGCCCTTTGCATTCCAAACACTCCCACTGCTCCTTCCCTCTTTTCCCGTAACTCCAGTCAAATGTTAACAGGACTCCCAATGGTCCCAGAGCCCAGGCAGGAGAGTCCGGACAGCCCAGAGCCTGCCCAGCGCCACCTGCAGCCTGTGCAGAGCGAGTGAAGCCTCAGCACAGATCCTGTCACTGACTGCAGGGACCCAGCATCGGCAGCAGCAACGCAACAGGGCAAGCACTCAGATGAACCCAGTGTCCCATGGACTCACAACAGAGCCCAGCTACTCAGATCTCTCACCAGGAGGGCACAGCGTGAGCTCAGGCTGACAACTCCCCCCCTGCATCTCAGTACCTCCCCAAAAGCTGATCCTGAGCATCCCAACAGCCTCTCCTGAAGGCTCCAGAGCCCCAGGCTGGCTCCTGCCCCTAGAGCTGCAGGGAGGGCAGGGCTCTGCAGCAGCACACGGAGCCTACAACCCACCTTGTCCATGTGGAAGATGAGGTCCAGCTCACAGACGTTCTCAAAGCACTTGTCCAGCGTCTCCACAAAGACCTGAGGATGCAGAAGAGGAGGTGAGTGCATGAGAGCCCCACAGGATGCTGCCCGCCCCAGCCCCAGTGCCCACAGCCCCGACCTACGCTCGCTGCGTCCCAGGCATCACCCTGAGCTGGGGCTAAACCTGCAGGAACCCAGCTCCTGCGATGGCCTCGCAGCGTCTGAACACTGCTTTCAAATGCACCTGGAGCTCTGGGATCCTTCCTACAAGAGAGACATTGAGGGGCTGGAGCAGGGCCTGAGCAGGGCACCGGAGCTGGGGCAGGGCCTGGAGCCCAGGTGTGATGGGGAAGGGCTGAGGGACCTGGGGGGCTCAGTCTGGAGCAGAGAAGGCTCAGGGGGGACCTGATGGCTGCCTCCAAGTGCCTGAGAGGAGGATGGAGCCAGGAGGGGCTGGGCTCTGCTCCCAAGGAACAAGGGATGGGACAAGAGGAACCGGCCTCAAGCTGCACCAGGGCAGGGTTAGATGGAGCTGAGGAACAATCTGTTCACTGAAAGGGTTGTCAAGGACCAGGCTGCCCAGGACAGTGGTGGAGTCAGCTCCCCTGCAGGGATTTAAGAGACTTGCAGATGTGGTGCTTGGGGGCATGCCCATTGGCTGGCACCGTTGTGTTTGCCAATGACATCAAACTGAGAGGGTAAATGGGCACTTGGGAAGTGAGATCTGCGCTGCAGGAAGAGCTGGACGGGCTAAGGAGAACCTTACATAGATCAACAAGGGCAAGGGTCAGGTCTTATGCCTGGGAAAACCCAATCCCAGAGTGCAGCACAGGCTGGGGAGCAACATGGGAGTGATCAGTGTGCAGCTGTGGCAGAGAAAGCCAATGGGGGACAGGGGGGGAACAACATCAGCAAGGCATCACCAGCAGAGATAAAGATGTCACTGTCCCACTCTGCTCGGCGCTGGTCTGGCCACCCCTGGAACATGGGCTCAGTTTTGGTCCCTGCTACACACTAAAAAGATGTGGACAGGCTGGAGAGGGCCCAGGGAAGGGCCACAGGGATGGTCCAAGGGCTGGGAAGTGTGTGAGGAAAGGCTGAGAGAGCTGGGAGTGCTCAGCCTGGAGAAGGCTCAGGGAGATCTGATCCCCACAGTCCAGTATTTAAAGGGTGGCTACAAAGAAGACAGAGACTGCCTTTGTACAAGGAGTCACATGGGAAGGACAAGTGGTGATGGGCACAAGCTGCCACCGAGGAGATTCTGACGGGGCACAAGAGGAAAACTTTCCCGATGAGAACACCAGCCCCTGGGATAATCTCCCCATGGAAGAGGTGACTCCCCAGTTAAGGTTCAGCTGCAGAGGGTACAGCTGGGACACCCAGCCTGGGTCATGCTGGGCCTGGAAAGGTTGGACCAGGGGGTCCTTGAGGTCCCTTCACCCTGGGATTCTGGGGTTACCGGTTGGGCTCAGGATCTAAGGGGTCTTTTCCAAACTCAACACTTCCACGAGTCTGTTTCTTAAGGAATTCACTGCAATTCACTTCTGCCGCTGCTCCAGGAGGGGGCGCTCTGCTGCCCGGCAGCTCCTCACCCGCTCCCAGAGAGCACAGGCACAGGGACAGCACCCGCAGAGCGGCGGGGCGGGCACAGGGCACGGGCAGTCCTGGGGGGGGGCGGGCACCGACCTGGATGAGGTCCAGGATGCCGAGCTCGCTCTCCGAGGAGTCCACGCAGAACACGAAGTACAGCGTGGCGTAGTGCCGGTAGATCAGCTTGTAGTCCGAGCCGCCGAACAGGCTGCGGGGACACGGAGGGGGGCGGTGGGGGGGGCCCAGCTCCGGTCCCGCCGGGGAGCGCCCGTCCCGCCCGTTACCTGCCGCACTCCAGGAAGTTGCAGATGTGATCGTCCCGCTTGAGCACGAGGTGGAAGGTCTCGCGGATGATCTGCTGCTGCACCTCCTCCGCCTGCGGGGCCGCGACCGGGCACCATGGGGCAGCGCCCGGGCACCCCGGCCCCGCTCCCCCCCGGGAGGGAGGCACCGCGCGCGGCCAGCGCCGGGTGAGGGGCAGGGACCGGCGCCCCGGCGCCCCGAAGGACCCGCCCCCGCCCCCCGCCGCCGCTGCCGAGCCCCCCCCCGGCCCCGCACCAGGTGCTGGTAGAAGCGGACGAGCCGCGGCTTGCCGTGGTTGTTGAACACCAGGATGGCGTTGATCATCCCGGCGGGAGGCCGCGGGGCCGGGCCGCACGGAGCCCCTCAGCCGAGCGGCGCCGGGCGCAGGGCGGGGGACGCGGGGCTCCACCGGGGGACGGGGACGCGGACGCCGCCGCTGCCCCGGGCCCGCCAGGGGGCGCCCGAGCCGCTGAGCGACGGGAGCCGCGCGGTGACACACCGCGGCAGCGCGTGCGCGGCGGGGGGGGGCTCTTAAAGCGGCAGCGCGCCCGTGTTCCGGGATACCGGCGGGGTCAGAGGTCACCGGCGGGGCCCAGTCCTGTCTGGCTGAGCTGGTGAGGATTGTGTTCTCAACTTCTGATTGGCTGAGATGGATGAGGATTGTGTCCCCACCTTCTGATTGGCAGAGATGGGTGAGGATTGTGTCCCCACCTTCTGACTGGCTGAGGCTTGTCCCCCCACATTCTGATTGGCTGACATGCTGATTCAGAGAAAACCCCAGGAACAAACTCGCCAGCCAAGGTTTCCCGTTTCAAGCAGGTATTCTTCATTGCGGCGCCGGCAGACGCAGGGGCAGCTCCTCCTAACCTGTGTCCCCATACTGCTGAACAAGGTGTTCTTGGATGGTCCCTGGGCATCCTGCATCACGTTCCAGAAAGTTTCCGGCATGCATACACACATGTGGGGGGCTTTAAGGGTCCTCTACTTTTCCCAACAATCTTCATAACCAGCTTAATTAACACTACAGACACAGCAATCATCCTGCCCTTTTACTTACCAGTTAGTTTAACTGCTCCCACCCTGGACATCTGCTAGTCCCAGGTCTCCCCAGTAGATGTTTACCCCAGCTTAACGGGTTCATTAACACCCCAAACATAGCAATCACCCTGCCCTTCCACTTATCTGTTCGTCTGTGCCCACCCTGGACATCTGCTAGGGCCAGGCACTCCCCATCCCCAGGTCCTGTTTTTCTGTTCTGCCTTTCTTACACCTTTTGTACTCCAGTCCTAAGGACCTGAAGCTATGTCAGCTACCTCCAAGCACCGCAGCTGTTTTCCATTACCAAGCCATCACACTTAACATCGCTTAGAACTGATTATTTTGTGCTTTTGTGCCTCCTTGTCTCGCTGGGGAGGATCGAATCCCCACCTTCTGATTGGCTGAGACGGTGAGGATTGAATCTGTACACCTTAATTGGTTGAACTGTGTGAGGATCGAATCCCGACTTTCTGATTGGCTGAGCTTGTGAGGTATATGGGAATGATTCGTGTCAGCAACTTAGGAGTCCTTGTCATCATTGTAGTTTGGGTGGAATGGAAAATCATGTGTAGAAAGTATAGGAATGATCAGATTAAGATAGATGTTCCTGTCAATACAATGATGAAAGAGAAAAAGAAACAAAGGAATAATCTTTCCTAATCAAACACTTTGTTACTTTAAGGGGCACTTTGTTTAACTACTTGAATGTCTCAAAGGCTTTGCTAATTACAGGGGTACTTTGTTTAACTGCTTGAATGCCTTGAGGGGGTTAGGTAATCAAGAGATACCTTCTGTTACAGGATGAGGTGAAACTTGTGTATTGAATAAGTAACTATATAAGAAATGGAACTGAGGGGGGCTAAGATGGTGGTTAAACCTGTGACAGACATCCCTGTTAATGTATTGCCAAGGAATTCAGTAACTTTTTAAGAAGTTTCTTCACCCAAAGATAAGACCCCAGCAACAGGAGAACAATGAAAAGGACCCACGTCGGTATTTGGGCAAAGACGATGACAGGATTCGTTGAAACCCAAGACCGAGGAGTGTAAGAGACTGTACCCCAGAAATCTCGGTATGAGTCTTGGGTGGAGTGGAGACTCCCCGGCGCACCCAGCGCTGCTTGCTCATTGCCTCTCCATATTAATCAATTGTAATAAACAATTAATTAAATCAGGTCATGGCCAAGATGGAATTTTTATAACAAGCTGCCTGCGGATTGAATCTCTACACCTTAATTGGCTGAGCTGTGTGAGGATCGAATCCCCACCTTCTGATTCCCTGAACTGGCTGCAGATTGAATCTCTGTGTGCTGATTGGCTGTGCTGGGTGAGGATTGAATCTCTGTGTCCTGATTGCCTGAGCTGGCTGATGATTGTGCCCCCACCTTCAGACTCACTGATCTGTGTGAGGATCGAGTCCCCACCTTCTGATTGGCTGATCTGGGTGAGGATTGAATCTCTATGCCCTAATTGGCTGTGCTCTCTGAAGATCATGTCCCCACCTTCTGATTGCCTGAGCTGGCTGCGGATTGAATCTCTGTGTCCTGATTGGCTGTGCTGGGTGAGGATTGAATCTCTGTGTCCTGATTGCCTGAGCTGGCTGCGGATTGAATCTCTGTGTCCTGATTGGCTGTGCTGGGTGAGGATTGAATCTCTGTGTCCTGACTGCCTGAGCTGGCTGCGGATTGAATCTCTGTGTCCTGATTGGCTGTGCTGGGTGAGGATTGAATCTCTGTGTCCTGATTGCCTGTGCTGGGTGAGGATTGAATCTATGCCCTAATTGCCTGTGCTGTGTGAAGATTGTCCCCACTTCTGATTGCCCGAGATGGCTGCGCATTGAATCTCTGTGTCCTGATTGCCTGAGCTGGGTGCAGATTCAATCTCTGTGTCCTGATTGCCTGAGCTGGCTGCGGATTGAATCTCTGTGTCCTGATTGCCTGAGCTGGCTGCGGATTGAATCTCTGTGTCCTGATTGGCTGTGCTGGGTGCGGATTGAATCTCTGTGTCCTCACTGCCTGAGCTGGCTGCGGATTGAATCTCTGTGTCCTGATTGGCTGTGCTGGGTGCGGATTGAATCTCTGTGTCCTGACTGCCTGAGCTGGCTGCGGATTGAATCTCTGTGTCCTGATTGGCTGTGCTGGGTGAGGATTGAATCTCTGTGTCCTGATTGGCTGTGATGGGTGAGGATTGAATCTCTATGCCCTAATTGCCTGTGCTGTGTGAAGATCGTGTCCCCACCTTCTGATTGCCCGAGATGGCTGCGCATTGAATCTCTGTGTCCTGATTGGCTGTGCTGGGTGAGGATTGAATCTCTGTGTCCTGATTGACGGAGCTGGCTGATGATTGCGCCCCCACCTTCAGACTGGCTGATCTGTGTGAGGATCGAGTCCCCACCTTCTGATTGGCTGAGCTGGCTGAGGATTGAATCTCTATGCCCTAATTGGCTGTGCTGTGTGAAGATCATGTCCCCACGTTCTGATTGCCCGAGATGGCTGCGGATTGAATCTCTGTGTCCTGATTGCCTGAGCTGGCTGCGGATTGAATCTCTGTGTCCTGATTGGCTGTGCTGGGTGAGGATTGAATCTCTGTGTCCTGAAAGCCTGAGCTGGCTGCGGATTGAATCTCTGTGTCCTGATTGGCTGTGCTGGGTGAGGATTGAATCTCTGTGTCCTGATTGGCTGTGCTGGGTGAGGATTGAATCTCTGTGTCCTGATTGGCTGTGCTGGGTGCGGATTGAATCTCTGTGTCCTGACTGCCTGAGCTGGCTGCGGATTGAATCTCTGTGTCCTGATTGCCTGAGCTGGCTGCGGATTGAATCTCTGTGTCCTGATTGCCTGAGCTGGCTGCGGATTGAATCTCTGTGTCCTGATTGGCTGTGCTGGGTGAGGATTGAATCTCTGTGTCCTGATTGGCTGTGCTGGGTGAGGATTGAATCTCTATGCCCTAATTGCCTGTGCTGTGTGAAGATCATGTCCCCACCTTCTGATTGCCCGAGATGGCTGCGCATTGAATCTCTGTGTCCTGATTGCCTGAGCTGGGTGAAGATTCAATCTCTGTGTCCTGACTGCCTGAGCTGGCTGCGGATTGAATCTCTGTGTCCTGATTGGCTGTGCTGGGTGCGGATTGAATCTCTGTGTCCTGACTGCCTGAGCTGGCTGCGGATTGAATCTCTGTGTCCTGATTGGCTGTGCTGGGTGAGGATTGAATCTCTGTGTCCTGATTGCTGGCTGGTGCGGATGAATCTCTGTGCTGACTGCCTGAGCTGGCTGCGGATTGAATCTCTGTGTCCTGATTGCCTGAGCTGGCTGCGGATTGAATCTCTGTGTCCTGATTGCCTGAGCTGGCTGCGGATTGAATCTCTGTGTCCTGATTGGCTGTGCTGGGTGAGGATTGAATCTCTGTGTCCTGATTGGCTGTGCTGGGTGAGGATTGAATCTCTATGCCCTAATTGCCTGTGCTGTGGAAGATCTGTCCCACCTTCTGATTGCCCGGGATGGCTGCGCATTGAATCTCTGTGTCCTGATTGCCTGAGCTGGGTGCAGATTCAATCTCTGTGTCCTGACTGGCTGTGCTGCCTGCGGATTGAATCTCTGTGTCCTAATTGCCTGAGCTGGCTGCGGATTGAATCTCTGTGTCCTGATTGGCTGTGCTGGGTGAGGATTGAATCTCTGTGTCCTGATTGGCTGTGCTGGGTGAGGATTGAATCTCTGTGTCCTGATTGCCTGAGCTGGCTGCGGATTGAATCTCTGTGTCCTGATTGCCTGAGCTGGCTGCGGATTGAATCTCTGTGTCCTGATTGGCTGTGCTGGGTGAGGATTGAATCTCTGTGTCCTGAAAGCCTGAGCTGGCTGCGGATTGAATCTCTGTGTCCTGATTGGCTGTGCTGGGTGAGGATTGAATCTCTGTGTCCTGATGCCTGAGCTGGCTGCGGATTGAATCTCTGTGTCCTGATTGGCTGTGCTGGGTGCGGATTGAATCTCTGTGTCCTGACTGCCTGAGCTGGCTGCGGATTGAATCTCTGTGTCCTGATTGGCTGTGCTGGGTGAGGATTGAATCTCTGTGTCCTGATTGGCTGTGCTGGGTGAGGATTGAATCTCTGTGTCCTGAAAGCCTGAGCTGGGTGCGGATTGAATCTCTGTGTCCTGATTGGCTGTGCTGGCTGCGGATTGAATCTCTGTGTCCTGATTGCCTGAGCTGGCTGCGGATTGAATCTCTGTGTCCTGATTGGCTGTGCTGGGTGAGGATTGAATCTCTATGCCCTAATTGCCTGTGCTGTGTGAAGATCATGTCCCCACTTTCTGATTGCCCGAGATGGCTGCGCAATGAATCTCTGTGTCCTGACTGCCTGAGCTGGGTGCAGATTCAATCTCTGTGTCCTGATT